GGTCGCGCCTGGGGGCAGTGACTGCACCGTGGGGCAGAGGAGGGAGGCGGGGGTCATGGTCACATCCTCTCACCACCCCCTACAAATCACTCCCTGGCTGGGCTGGAGCCCAGGCCCAGACCACCCTACCCTGGCACTTACCGCTCAGGCCCAGCCAGGCCTCCCGGCTGCAGCGTGCACCCGCGATGTTGGTGGCCATGCAGCGGTAGGCGCCCACATCTGCGCGCCGCATGCCCGTAATCTGCAGGACGCCGGCCGGCAGCAGCGTGAACCTGGTGGGTGGTACAGCAGGGCTGGCGGTGGGTGCCACAATTCCCTGCGCTCCATTAGGGACAGCCTGGGCTCAGGGTGGGCGCCTCAGTCCCTCGGGGGGTGCGCAGTGCTCACCTGGGGTCGTCGGGTGGCAGCGCTGTGCGGTTGCGCTCCCAGGTGATGGTGGCTTCAGGGACGCCCTGGATGAGGCACTGGAAGCGTGCCACGCCGCCCTCCTCTACTGCCATGGACTCGGGGTGCATGTGGAACCGCGACAGGGCTAGGGGGCCATGGGGGTAAGGCTGGGGTTGCACTGAGCCTCCCAGCCCAGCCCTGGGCATCCCCACACCCCTGAGCCCCTGCCAGCTCTCAGGCAGGGGCACAGGGTCAGCTGCATCCCAACCCTAAGCCCATCCCTTGCCCGCACTCACTGGCCAGCTGGACCCGGGCCTTGCGGCTGAGCAGGAGCCCGTCGCGGTTCTGGGCGGCGCAGCTGTACTCGCCGGCGCTGGCATCCGGGGCGCCCCCGTCACGGGGCCGGCGGTGCACGCTCTCGAGGCGCAGAGAGCCATTGGCCAGCACGGCCGCAGGGCCCCCCAGCGCTGCCCCGTCCTTGAACCAGCGGATGCGGACGGGCGGCTCCCCCTGCACCAGGCAGTGCAGCACCAGCGGCCGGTCCCGCACTGCCACCACGTCCACCGGCTCCAGCAGGAAGGCCAGCTCGGCCGCACGGCCCAGCCCTGTGCAGGGGGGTGCCCATCAGCCCCCGGGCCCGCGCCAAGGCCTCCGAGAGCCCCCAGCGCCCCTCGCCTGCCCGGCCCCCAGGACCCCCCCATACAGACGCAGGGTCCCGGGTGCAGCTGGGGGCCAGGGCTGGGGCTGCAGGCCCCTTCCTCCAGCAGCACGCTTCCCATTCCCACGCAGCTGCTCCCCCTGTGGCCAGGCTGGGAGGACAACGTGGCCATGCGGGGCCAACACGGGGCTCTGAGGCTGCGAGCAGGCGCTGCCGGTGAAGCCCCCTCATGCCGCAGCAACCCGCAAGGCACCGTCCAGTGCCTGGCACGGGCATCACGGGCTCCTGTGGCAGGGGCGTGTGGCCCAGCCCCTGCTGCATCGGGGCAGGATCGTCCCTGGATAAACCGTAGACAGCTCAGCAGCTCCTACAGCCCCCACAGGGACAATACAGCCGGCAGGAAGAGGCCAAACGCTCCGCACGCAGCTGCCACATGGCCAGGCCTGTGCGCCCTGCCCCGGCCCTCGCGGGCACAGGGGTACGGGGCCGCCCCTCAGGCGGGGCTGTGGGAGCCGGGGGCCTCCCGCCCGCCAGGCACCACGGCGGGGACGTCACGAAGTTAACTGTTGGGGACAATGGAGCAGCAGGGGGGCGGCCTCGGCTTTGCCGGCCTGACATCTTGATTGATGCGGCCTTTC